GTGTGTGTGTGTGTGGGGGGGGGGGTGCTGCCTATGCAGCTTGGAGGTAATAATGTTTGTATTATGCAAATTGTATTCAGTACATCTCCTTTACTTGTTGGAAATTATGTACAAGTAGCTTTGTAAGACAGTAAAAGTACATGGCTAAAATGTAAATAAGTTGAGTTGTAAGTGTAACTTTTATTGTATATTGTGGAAGGTGAGGAAATTGAAGACTGAGAAATATTTTACATGCAAAACACTAGTATGGGCTCTAAGAATTTTTTTCCACATTTCTAACTTAGTTTGAATTTTTCCAATTACAGTTTTGAGCAGTCTGTGAGTGATCAAGGAGCTTCAATATTTGAAGCTCCTTGGAGTGATCAAGTACCTGTAATGTTATAATGGGTTATAGAGTACATGTGTCTTGGGATCAATTTACCAGTATGAATACACTGATAGCAAGCACCCCCATCTAGTTACTCTCTTTTAGAATTTTTTATCACCCTCAAGGCACAATAAATGGGCCCCAAGTCACAGATTTACCTTACCTTGATTCCACAGGAGCTTCTACATGTATATATACGTGTCTGGTATCAAGGGTAATGTGCACTTTCAAGGCTAAGTAACACTTTTACTACTGTTCTGTTGACTGATGTGCAAGTGAATTTTTGCAGTCGTAGCAATATGTAAATTCCACGCCAGGTAATTTGTGGTCCAAAGGAAACCAGGTCGCCTTAATATGAAATGAAGGATACAACTAGACGATGATGCATTTTACATACTCTTGAAATGGCAGGTAATCAATAGAAGGCTAGCCAAAGACATTGGCAAATAATTTCAGTGAATTCTCTTAGGTAAGGACAGACCAGTTCGATTTGTTGGTTCTCGGAGCTGTGGAAAATAATGCTTAAGTGGAGGATCAATTTGAAGTGAAACATATGCACAAGACTATGAATATAACTCAGATCCAAAATTTTCTTCTAGTCTACTGTTTTTCTGTTGTTTCTTGCTAAATTATAACCTTAAAATGTCTGAGAACCA